ACCCAGACAGCATGTGAGAGCTGGATCTGTGATTGAAGCCCAGGTATCTGGTGCCAGTGCTCCTCGACTCCATGACTAGGCTTTACCTCTTCTTTGATAGCTAATCACACCCATTTGAATGAGATGTGTATTAAGTACTTAACTTGCCATTGCAACATTTTAGATGTGCTGGCAAAATAGAAAGCTGGCTAACATATTCAACTGAATGATTCAGTGAACACAGTGTTCTTTTATGGAGGTGGGGAGTAGGGAGGGAAAAGGAAAGGGTTATCCCAAAATTATTGTATATGTGGCCAAGGGTTTCTGTCCACAGTTCTCTATGGGTGCCTTTTACTCTCTCTAACTCATTTTAAGATTCTGACCTCAATACTAATAATGATGCCTTTGAAGACTTCAGTTCTGACACAGACACTTGACAGATTTTCACAGAATCCTACTATAGACTGCATTTGATGAGGATGCTCCATAATAAATTACTTGGGTCCCTCTTCTCTCCAAGGGAAGTTAACTTCCATCACAGCACTCTTAAGAGTTTCAGATTTCACAGAAATCAGTGTTTCTGGATATGTCTGAGCAATCAGTGACTTTGTTAGACATTTCAACTGGATCTCTCCCATCATGCAGTATAAGAAATTATACCAAGGGCTCTATTCTAGAAAGCCATGAGATTCCCTTGTCAGTAGGAAATGCTTTTGGGTGCGAGTAACAGAATACCTAATAAATAATAATCGAAACAAGAAGAGTTTCTTTTTCTCACATAGCAAAGAGACTGAGGGTTGGCAATGCTGACATGGGCTCAGTGGCTCTAGTGGTTTCTTATCCTTTTCCTCAGTGTCTTGACGGCCACTGCAGCTATAACCATCCCATCCTTACATGAAAAGGAAGGGGATTACAGTAAAGGGAAGAAAAGCTTTCTATGAAACTTCACAAGAGGTGTCACAGTCACAACGGGATCACATGCTCGTCATTGACCCAGTTCACCTGTGCTGTGAAGATGCTGAGCATTTTCCTCCAAACTCCTGATTAAAATGCATTCTGCTAGACAGGATAAAGGAGTATATGTGCATATGTATGTGTGTAAATGGTTTGTGTAGACAATAAATTGTAGATGAAATATTGTGTAGACACACATCCTTTCTCGTAGGCATCCGGGAATAGATAACTCCCTAACTGGGTTTTCATCATGAGGGCCTATTAGCTGCTCTGGAACTGACCTGAGCCCTCGGAAAGTGGCAATATTGACTTCCAACTCTAGAAGACGAGGGCCAATCAGGCTGTCTCTGTGAGCCTCCAATTTCAGCACATGGGAGGTTATGGTTCCCACAGCAGTCAAGAAGCCGTTCCTCATCACATCTCCTCATCACATCTCCAAGAATGAATGAACTGATTATTTTGGCAACTCTGTAATTCGACTTCACTGCATTGTAAACCCAGATCGATTTTAGGTAATAATCAGATCAAGCCATTTCAGGACAGTTGTGTCAAGCTTAATGTTTTTAACAAGATAGGGTGCCAGGTTGAATCTGATGCAAATTAATTTAAAATTTTCAAATTCAGTTAACAAAAGAGTCTGGATTATCTTTATACCACAAAGTCTACCATGCTAAATGGGTCCATTGCAAAGTTATTCTTGAGGACTGTAACTTTTGTTCTGCTGAACTTTTATTATTTGTGAGTTAAAAAAGGTAATTTTTTTTCCTCTCTAATTCCCCCTTTCATAATTTATGCAACACATTTGCAATACAAGGAGCTATTGAGGGCACCGCATTGAGGACAATGTTACAGCGCACACCACCAGTTTTCTTTCAGATGTTCTCATCCACCCATTGAGGTTGGAAGTTTGGAGAGTGCATCTGAAAAGCCTACCAATATGCCTCAACTTGGTATCCCTGTCTTTTCGTGTCCTATGAGATATTACTAACAAACTATGAAAAGACAGTCTCTGAGTGCTGAATATAGGTTGGTTCAGGCAATTTACTTACAAAAAAAAAATTAATTTTTTTTTTTTGAGATAGAGTCTTGCTCTGTTGCCCAGGCTGGAGTGCAATGACGCGATCTTGGCTTGCTGCAACCTCTGCCTCCCGGCTTCAAGTGATTCTCATGCCTCAGCCTCCCAAGTAGCTGGGACTACAGGCGCATACCACTACACCCAGCTAATTTTTTTATTTTTAGTAGAGATGCTGTTTCACCACATTGGCCAGGCTGGTCTCGAACTCCTGAACTCAAGTGATCTGCCCACCTCAGCCTCCCAAAGTGCTGGGATTATAGGCGTCAGCCAGGGTGTCCAGTTGCAGTTTGTACTACAATTTAATATTTGTGATTGGTGAAAACACATTTTAATGTTTATTTTAAAAATATTTTTTAATTTTTCAGATAGCATATATTACGGAGGGAGAAATCATTCTCTTCAGTGTAAGTATTCTTTCAAGTTTTTTTTTTTTAATGTTGTAAAGTAAATAAATAAGCAACTTCTACAAAAAGCAAAACAACATTAGTTAAGTTCTCTGTAAGCAACAAAAGACCACTTATCTAACTGGCAGCTTAGTTAACTGGAACTTAGATGGGAAGCTCAGTTCATTGTTTGCAGAATGTTCTGAAGCTCCCAGGTGAGAGAAGCCACATTTTTCCATACCTGGCACTTTTGTAACAGTGTTTTCAGCTGCCTAGGAGAGCTGATTCGGCATCTGCCTCCAACATCACTGGCCTGTTTTGGGAGAGGAGCATCAGCACTTGGTTCAATTGTTTAGAAATTATACAGCTTGCCTGTGACCTAAGGAGGATTACGTTTAGGAGTGGGGCACTTTCGAAAATCATGTCTCTTAAAAAGCCACCCCAAAAAGTGTCACAGTCATCAATCAGAGGAAGAATCCAGGAACAAACTAGTGATTTCCCCAAATTCCTTTTGCTTTGCCTTTTTGTTTTTTCAAAGATCAAATTCAAATAGCATTTTATGCTTTCTTTCACTGAAAGGAATGGCCTGAAGAAGGTATTTCACAACTAAGAATTAACAATGGCCTGAAGGTATTTCTTCAATCCTCTTAAAGAAAGCTTTTATATTATGACAAACCTGTGCACCTTTAGGGGGCTCATCTTGTGCACGGTGGATTTGAGCCGTCAGTCAGATGTGAAAGTCCTGGCTGATCCTGTGCTGTGCTGCTGCTGAAGCTGTATTTATGGCAAAGGCTTCGCTCACTATCAAAAGAAACATGGGCTCACTGTCTCTGAGCTTCTCCTCCAAGCAGAGGAATGTTAAACCAGACATCAGTCTGCGAAAACAATCAACCAAACATATGCCCACTCTCAAAGAAGGATCTTGTTCTGCCTGTCTCTTAGGTTTTGGAAAATGGCTTTTCCTAAATGAGCTTTAGAAAAGCAATAATAAGCCAAGCTGCACACCTTATAGTGATTTTTATATTAACACAGAAAACACAAATTTGTAATGCTGTGTATCATTCAAGTAGAATCTTCAATGGGTGTAGTAATATAATTATAATTATATAACACACAATACAACTATAATATAGGATACTAGTTTTATTAGAGCTATGCTTTATGATGTATTAGGCACTAATCTTATTTAACCCTCATAATAGTCCTGTGTGATGGGCATAATTTCAATTTTACAAATGAAGAAACTGAAACTTTTAGAGAGTTTGATTATATCTAAGCGCAGAGGTGGGGATTCCAGACTATTGTCAAAGCTTGTGTCTTAGCCAGTAGGCTCTACTGCCTACAGTTCTAGAATACTATATACCGGTCATTCTCGTTGATGATCAGTAGATGTTCATGAATTACTGTTGGTTTAAATATTACCTTATGCTTACAGGAAGAGAAGATGGTAAACATAACATCTGTGGGGTTTTTTTTTTTTTTTTTTCCAGTGGAAGAAAAGTCAATATATAAATTGACCAAAGGAAAAAACTGTCTTCAGTCCTTCCAAATTCATTCTTAGTGGCACATCCTTAGGCTCATGGCAATGTATAGAAAATGACTGTCATTAAACGTTAAGGATTTTAGGATAGTAAAGTACTAATAAAATGAAAACTATTTCTGTCAAAATGCCCAGCTGATTTCCACCATAGAGATCTGGGCAGGACCAAAACAGTAAGGTTCAGAATGTACATTAAAAATATACCAGGACCCTTTACTTTGTAAATAGTCAATATAACTTACAGGATTAGAAATTCCTTGGAATAAAATATTAACCCTATGAAGGAAAGGACAGTGGACAGGAAGTTAGGTGGTGCAGATTCTGGTCCTGCGTCCTATTAGATAGCTACGTGGCCTTGGACAAGTCACCTACCCTCTCCAGATTTCAATGTTCCCATCTGTAAACCGAAGCCTCTGGTGCCTTTCAATCATTCAAATTCTGAGTCGATGAGGCGGATCCTTTGGAGCGGGCACCGGATATCCCTTTCCCAGAGTGCTCTGCGCCGTGAAGAAGCGACTTCCGGGTTCTGGGGGCATTTTGTGTTGGTTAGAGCTGGAGTAACAAGATGGCATCGTCGGCGGAGTGACAGGACCGGAGCCGGCAGCAGTGGTGGCAGCGGTACCGCGCCCCAGCTCACCGCGCCCCTTTTCCAGCCCCGACGTCGCCGCGAAAGCGAGGCAGCAGCGGCTGCCCAGAAATAGGTGGCCCAGCCCTGTCTGAACCGCTAGAAGCCCTTCACAAACTGCGGCCTGGCAAACCACCAGCCGAAAAACAAACAAAAAAAATGTGACTGAGCAGCAGGCACCAGGTTCCCTTCGCCGGCATCTGGGCCCTGGACGCCAGGAAAGGCCTCCTTGTTCCGCTTCCTGCCGCCTTCCACGGTAGGCTTGGCCCAGCCTCCATCTTCGTCTCTCAGGACGGCTAGCAGCAGCGGCTCCAAGGCAGGATTCATTGTCGGAAGGAAATGCAAACTGGTATGGGATGTCGGTTCTGGCTCCTTCGGAGACATCTATCTGGCGATCAGTATTACTAACGGTGAAGAAGTGGCAGTGAAGCTAGAATCTCACAATGCCAGGCATCCCCAGTTGCTGTACGAGAGCAGGCTCTATAAGATTCTTCAAGGTGAGGTTGGCATCCGCCACATAACGGTGGTATGGTCAGGAAAAAGACTATAATGTACTAGTCATGGATTTTCTGGGACCTAGCCTCGAAGGCCAATTTCTGTTCAAGAAGGTTCACAATGAAAACTGTACTTATATTAGCTGACCAGATGATCAGTAGAATTGAACATGTGCATAAAAAGAATTTTATACACAGAGCCATTAAACCAGATAACTTCCTAATGGGTATTGGGCGTCACTGTAGTAAGTTATTCCTTATTGATTTTGGTTTGGCCAAAAAGTACAGAGACAACAGGACAAGGCAACACAGGCCATACAGAGAAGATAAAAACCTCACTGGCACTGCCCTATATGCTACCATCAGTGCACATCTTGGTATTGAGCAGAGTCACCAGGATGACAAGGAATCATTAGGATATGTTTTGATGTATTTTAATAGAACCAGCCTGCCATGGCGAGGGCTAAAGGCTGCAACAAAGAAACAAAAATATGAAAAGATTAATGAAAAGATGTCCACTCCTGCTGAAGTTTTACGTAAGGGGTTTCCTGCAGAATTTGCCATATACTTAAACTATTGTCGTGGGCTACACTTTGAGAAAGCCCCAGATTGCATGTATCTGAGGCAGCTACTCTTCATTCTTTTCAGGACCCTGAGCCATCAGTATGACTACACATTTGACTGGACAATGTTAAAGCAGAAAGCAGCCCAGCAGACAGGCTCTTCTACTGGGCAGGGGCAGCAGGACCAAACCCCAACAGGTAAGCAACCTGACAAAACCAAGAGTAACATGAAAGGTTTCTAAGCATGAATTGAGGAACAGAGAAGCAGAGCAGATGATTCAGAGCAGCATTTGTTTCTCCCCAAATCTAGAAATTTTAGTTCATATGTACACTAGCCAGTGATCATGGACAACCATTTACTTGGTATAAAGAACTTAACTTTACTATAAACTGACTCTGGGCAGCATTGGTGATGCTGTATCCTGAGTCGTAGCCACTGTAATTGTGAATATTAACAGATAGTGAAACACGGTGACTGGTTTTCTAGTGCATTTTTTTCAAGTGAAAAAGTTAACTAAATGGTTGACACACACAAATTGGTGGAGAAATTATGCATATGCCAATTTTTTTTTGGTTAGAACCTTTTGTTTTGAACTATACTGCTTTGAGATCTCATCTCAGAAGAACGTCATGAACAGTCTTCAGCCACTTGTGATGGTTGTAAATGCTCACAATTGTGCATTCTTAGGGCTTTTCCATCTCTCGGGTTTGCAGGTTGTTCACGTAAAACGTTGTTAAAATTGTTGGCTTCTTGTTTGCAAACCAGCTGATAGGGTAGCAACCAAAGATTCCAGTGTTTGAGCTCATGAAAGACTCTGCCTGCTTACTTGTGCTAGAAATAATAGCATCTAAAGTGAAGACTTAAGAAAAACTTAGTGACTACTAGATTATACTTAGGACTCTTCATTAACTTTATAATGTTCTTAGTATTTTTTTAAAAAAGCTTGTCACAGAAATTTAGTTAACATCTTACAACTGAACATATATGTATGTTGCTTAGATAAATATAATCACTGTAAACATCTATATGATTAGGGATCTTGTTTTTATTTTGAAGTGGGAGCTTTTTTGTTTATAAGTTTATTAAAAACTAAAAACTTTCTGTAAGAAAATCAGTTTTTTTAAACAAAAAAATGCCTTGCTGACTCACTATTAAATAACATCTCCCGATTTTTTGATAAAATTCTGAGTCTATGAATCAAACTCATCTTTGCTAATGGCTTGAAGATCCAATTAGCCTTTCAGGGAATTGTCAAGAAATAAACTGAAAATGTAATTAAATTCTCACATGAGTTTCTCGGCTCATTCTATGCCCCCATTTTGCCATTTTTAACTCCTTTGTCATTGGGAAATATTTTCAAGGATAGTGGGGAAACAAGTAAGATGAAAGTAATTTACCAAAAGACTGAGTTTTACATCATTATGCAATGTGCTCATGGCCACTTTGCCATCTTTCATTGTTTTGCTTTTCTATCATCCTCTGTTAGGTTGCATTGCTATTTTTTCATTTATTGAAAAATTTGGTTTTTAAAAATTGTAACTGAAACCAAGATGGATTCTTCTATTCAAATTAGTACAAAATATAATACTTTTAGATTTTTACCTAATTTTCCATGTGCAATGATTGTTATTATTTTAGCTGCCAGAATTAATGAACTGATACAATTAAAAGGTTTTGGCAAAAGTATTTATGGCTTAATGGTAAGTATATTAACAAAATTGTCTTACCATGTAAAGCATACAGTTCTTCTCTGTCCTTGAAAATATTTTAACACTTCTTTTTGGAAACATATTTTCAAACCACTATTATATACAATCACTACCTTATAAAAATGCACTGCACTAAGCAGAAAATTGATACCCAGATGATATAAAGGCCATGAAAGATAAAGGAGGCAGAGTGTGTAACTGACCTTGAATCCCTAGCCTGGTTTGAGTGGGAGAAAAAAAAAAAAAAACCCACCCCCAACCCCACAAAAAAGAAAGAAAACAAATCTCCAAAGCTAGAAATGTGTGAAATTTGCTAATATAATTTTTGAATTTCAAGATCTTTATGCAGGGCCAAAATATACAGGCCTAATGTTTTTCATCGATAATATAATTGAACTTGTAGACATTTACTGAAAATAATAATTATCTGTGCCCATCTAGTGTTTATCTTGAGGCTTAAAATCATATTTGTATGATTTTGATGACATATTTAGCTTATCTGTATTACTAGACAGACCTTAGCCATGGACAGACACTTTGCTTGATGTTATAGAACTATCAGAACAAGTTATTGCTTGTTTTATTACTTAGGCCGATGAACAGGTATGAATTCTGTTTCAAATGCTTAGAATTTATTTATACTTGCACTGAACATGAATGGCCCAGAGCAGGAATGGAAAATATGTGGCATCCATGTGATCACTGCCTACTCCAAAAACTAGATCAAAGCCTTAGCTGCGGAGCTGAACTTGGCCTTGGAAATGCTTAATAGCAGTGAACGCAGCCACCATAAGCAAATAGAAAGCTACTTGCAGTCCATAGTCTAGGGTTAAAATATCTTATTAAAAACCTCATAGATTTCCGTCTTTCCTTAATGTGATTTGCTTTTCTAAAATTTCCAAATATTTTGTGTTGTTTTCATTTTGAGGAAGTAATGATTTATTTTTCTTCAAGAAAAGAATCTTTTGTTGCATTAAAAAAATTCCCCACAGCACCTCACATACTTCTAATACACATTAGGGACTCAATAAATATCTGTGTCTTAAATAGTTTTAATGCTGGAAATATAAGACAGAATTATCACCTGGAACCAAAGACCTAGTCTTAGTGGTATCTGCACTCTGGGTCTGTTCTCTCCAGCAGCTCATGGAAGGAATCACACAGTAAAGAGCCCCAACAAATTAAGTCCTGGGAAACTGGCAGAATAAGAAGAAATGTGGAAGTTCCAGTTCTTTTGTGCTATAGGTTTCCAAATTATGAGGAAATATGCCAAATGCCTTTGGCTTTCAAATAATAATATACTCTGAATTAATGACTAACAAGGAAACACCCACTGAGCGGTTCATGGGCAGTATCTCTCCAAAGGTCAGATCCTATTGGCAAATGACCAAATAACCCTTCTCTCTTGAGCCGGCCAACCACTTCTATGGCCAGGAAGCACTTTGCCATCAACTTAGCATTATAAAAGGGAGCAATTAAAAGTATCATTTGCAGTTAATCTAATAACTCCATTGAATATTCCAAAATCTGTGTGAAACACAGTTGATCTGGGACCCTGCAGTGATTTGAAGAAAAAAGAATTTTTTTAATGGAAATATAAAGATAAGCCATTTCTTTTTAAAGAGAAATAAAGATTTTTAATATTCTCATTTAGCAACATAGTGCATAAACAATAATGTATTAAGATTAACTTTAAGGCAAATGCAACAAAAAGTTTACGTATATTCCCCCCTTAAAACTAAGTGTGCATACTAAAACACTCTTGTTGATGAATTTGATTCATTTCACATTTTGGGGAGTTTCTAAATTAATTAATTCTTTAACATTGACACATGATGATTTTCTCTGATTTTGGTAAATACACTCATTTTTCAGATGAAGAAAATGAGAAAGTTAAAGGTTCCAATTATTTGCTAATGCAAGTGAGTGGTAACATTTAAAAAACTCTGTCATTCATTTACTCATTTAACATTTATTGAATACCTGCTCTGTCTGCACCAGAACTCTGTTAGGCATTAGGGACTACAGTGAACAAAGTAAGTGTAGTTTCTACTTTCATGGAGCTTACAGTCTAGTTGGAAATCTTACATGAAACAAGTACAGAAATAAGTCAACAACTGAGATAAAACAAAAGCAATCAAATAAACGGTGCTTATAACTTTGTTTACTTAACAAAACTATGGTTTCCTGCAGAGAAGAAGTGGTTTTACCTTTTTATCTAAATTTTGATTTGTCCTATAAAAGAAATTCAATTAAAAATGTAAAATACAGAAGGTCTACTATAGATCCACTGAATTATTATTCCTGAATGTTATTTCTGAATTTGTGTTTAATGTTGAAATGACAAGGCTTTTTTTTTGAAAAAAAAAGTGCTAGTTATTGTAGAAATACCTTTAACCAAGGCAGTTTCCAGGGGAATTAATGACCACTTCAGGTTAATGGTCATTGGATTCATGTTCAGCCCTCAATTAAACTCTGAACTTCAATTGTTATTACTTAATTGACTTGGTTATATTTCACGTCAGCATTTCAATATGACCTTCCTTTTAAAAAGTAAAAATTGCCCTGACGTAGTACCATGAGTCTTTAGTTGAGCCTGACATTGTTGCAGCAGTCCACACTATCTTTATATATGGTTGAGCCTAGAATTTGCTTAGCTTTGCTATCACTAGTGTACTTCCCATTATCCTTGCCTATAAAATGAGACAGCTTAGGATAAATCCAAGTGATGAGGGAAAAGGGATGAAAAAATAAATATATCTGTTGCCATGATTATTATTAATATGCCAAATAAATCCACAGAGATCCTCACCACTTTATCCTAATTGCAGGGAATTAGACAGTTTTAACGAATACCTTGAGTAATTAAATACTATCAAGGTATGCTTATTTTAAAATGTTCCTATATTATCTTTTCCTTACAAGTGACTCCAAATTGTTAAGTAGATGAAAACTTAAATCTCCTTTACCTATACATTAAACAATAAGAACAAGTTGGATTTATTTAAACAATGAGTTGGATTTTATATAAAGTGAGTATGACACCTAGATCGAACTTTGCTATACTAACTGAAACAAATTAAGGCATCAAATGAGCATTTCCCTTCCCCTGTACTGTGGAAATGTTTTAAAAGTCTTTTTGAAGTACTTTGATCAGGCTTTGAAATCATTTTAGTGGATTACTATTGTATGAAAACTGTAATTTATAGCGCTTGACCTAAGCAGCTCTTTGTCTCACAGCCATATTCAAAACAATAGCAGGAAAGTGAAAAACAGAAGGCGAACCCAAGTTGTTCAGGTTATTATTTAATTCATAATTCCATCTTCCTTGTTTAATCTTTGGAATCCAGGCATGTTCTTAATAAAACAGGTTCAGATGATGTTTACTAAATGTAGGAAGGTTAGTTTAGAGTAGCAAGATTAAATGATCCAAACACATGACCCTTCCATAACCCACGAGTGACTTTACACAGACAAGTTCAGATAGACGCTTCCCATAAATGGTGACGTTGCAGGCAAACTTCTATTGTTTGCCTTTTAGTTTCCTCTCAAGTTAAGTTTGCTTTGTTCCTTAACCCTAATCAAGAATGTG